AAGCGTCCAAATAAGACTGTTTTCACGCTTAAACGGATTAGGCCTTCTCTACCGCGGCACTTAATACAATTGGGGCCGTCGATAACGCTTCTGGATGAAAGGTACCGTTTGGATGGGAATAAAGTACTGGTGATACGGTATTGTAGCGATTGTACATTGTTAGTCGCCACAAAGTATACGCTACAAGTGCAACTTGTTAACCGCTTTCCCTGCGAGCTAATTTGTGACTGAAGCTGGCAAAGTGGGGGGTTCTGTTTGACCAGCTGTGTATTTCTCCTGCGCCAGCCCATGTCTGAAACTGTAGCCCTCTGGATTCCAGCGTATTTAAGCAGCGGGCTTCCGAACGCTACTTCCGAGAACATACGAGCTGGACTTCGCTGCGCATAGGGACCCTCTGTATTCTCAGATGCCATAGTTTGATTCCTGCTTTCGCCCTAGTCGCATCAAAAGACTTCTGTCCCACTTGTTATGCAGGCCTGAGCCGTGTCCAGTTGATATCACGACGTCCATTCCAGCGCGCGCTGCGCAGGCATTTTGAACAAACACGAAGCACCGCCAGCGAACTGAAACACTCGTAGCTCCGCGCCGGTTGTGATGACTCGTCGCTGCTAGCGCACCACGTTTGTGTGGTTGACGCACCACTCGTCGCGGCTGGCGCACCACGTTTGTGTGGTTGACGCACCACTCGTCGCGGCTGGCGCGCCACATTTGTGTGGTTGACGCACCACTCGTCGCGGCTGGCGCGCCACGTTTGTGCGGTTGACGCACCACTCGTCGCGGCTGGCGCGCCACGTTTGTGCGGTTGACGCACCACTCGTCGCTGCTAGCGCACCACGTTTGTGTGGTTGACGCACCACTCGTCGCGGCTGGCGCGCCACGTTTGTGCGGTTGACACACCACTCGCCGCGGCTGGCGTACCACGTTTGTGCGGTTGACGCACCACTCGCCGCGGCTGGCGTACCATGTTTGTGTGGTTGACGCACCACTCGTCGCGGCTGGCGCGCCACGTTTGTGTGGTTGACGCACCACTCGTCGCGGCTGGCGCGCCACGTTTGTGTGGTTGACGCACCACTCGCCGTGCGATCTGCGCACCACGTTTGTGTGGTTGACGCACCACTCGCCGTGCGGTCAGCGCGCCACGTTTGTGCGGTTGACGCACCACTCACCGTGCGGTCGGCGCACCACGTTTGTGTGGTTGACGCACCACTCGTCGCGGCTGACGCGCCACGTTTGTGCGGTTGACGCACCACTCGCCGTGTGGTCGGCGCACCACGTTTGTGTGATTGACGCACCACTCGCCGTGCGATCTGCGCACCACGTTTGTGTGGTTGACGCACCACTCGTCGCGGCTGGCGCACCACGTTTGTGCGGTTGACGCACCACTCGCCGCGGCTGGCGGGCCACGTTTGTGCGGTTGACGCACCATCCGTCGCGGCTGGCGCACCACGTTTGTGCGGTTGACGCACCACTCGCCGCGGCTGGCGGGCCACGTTTGTGCGGTTGACGCACCATCCGTCGCGGCTGGCGCGCCTCGAGTTTGAATGGCCAGCGTTTCTGTGACCGGAACGTATGGCGGCCGGGACAAAGGGCAGCCCTGGTGTGGACCTCTGAAGGGCCCAAACCTTCGGAGGAGATTGTGACCGATATGAATAACAGCCAGTTTCGTATTCATGTGCAACAGCTGTATTCACTGGATAAAAGTGGCATCGAAATTGAGCAAATGCATTGCCGAGCGAAGGAAACCGTGTGCAACCGTGTTATATGTCACTCAGATGACATTAAGGGTACAAGTATAGGCTCACCCTTAGTTATCACATTTGCCCTTATTTACTTCTGACGGTTTTCTGAGCGCGCCGCCCGCACCGCAAGCTTTGCTTAGAAAGACTCTCAAAATCGCTGTCACAGGGTCTGATATGTTGCCGGGCCGAATGAGCCTACCCATATGGATTTTAATCGAAGTCTAATGCATGAAAGGGATTAATTCATAACTGTCAACACCATCGGATCACAAAGGTCAACATCATCAGTGCTTTGACCTCAGCGCACTAGTTCACAATGGTCAGCACCATAGCTCCTTAGCGGTTGGCGCCGTTGATCCATAACAGTCAACACCGCCAGGCCATAATGACCAACATCTTTAGTCCATAGCACTCAAACTATCGGTCCACAATGGTTAGCACCGCTAGTGCGTAACGGTGCGCAACATGAGTCCGAAATGGCCTACACCTTTAGTTCATACGATCTACATCATCATTCTGCTTAGCGGTCCACATCGTCAATCCATGGCGGTCAACGACGTCAATTTGCGTAACGGTCCATAACAGTCAACATCACCAGTCTATGGAAGCTAAAACCCTCAATCCGCATCGGTCAACACATCAGGTCTGAGCGGCCAACACAGTCAGTGCGAAACGGTCAAAATCATCCGTCCATAACAGTCGATACCATTAGTTTATATAGGTGGACGCCCTTACCCCGCAGCGGCGCACATATCGGTCTGTAGCGGACAACACCGTTAATTCATAACGGTCGAGATAATTGATCGATCACTGCAAACACCTTTGATTCACTGTGGTCAATAGTGCAATTATATGGCTGCCGGCAAAACCATCAGTCCGTAGTAGAACCCAACAGCTCACACTATCAGTAAGCAGCGGTCAACATCCTTGGTGCACAGCGATCATTTCAACAATCTGTAGCGGTCAATGCAATAGTCTGCATCGGTCAGTCCAATAGTCTGTAATCGTTAATGTATTCAGTCCATAACGGTCAACACCATTACTTTGCAATGGTCAACACCATCAGGCATAACTGTCTAAACGATAAATCCACAACGATCAACACCGGCAGTCGGTAACGACCAGCACGATCAAATGCAACGGTAGGCACTACACATACGTGGCGATCAATCCCTTAAGTCCCTGGCTGACGACACTATCTGTTCGGAGCGGTCAGCGCCGCCAGCGGGTAACAGTCAACACCGTGTGCTCGTAACGGGCCAAACTGCCTGTCCAGTACGGACAAACTATCGCTAGTGCAGGCCGACAAAAGCTCCCCACTAAATATTCATCGATGCTATGTCCTTCTATTCCTAATTTCTCCGCCGGTGTATCCGCTGTTGATGCGTTCCTGGTCAGGGAGACGCCTAACGTCCTGGACGCCCAGGCTTAGCAGACGATTAATTACAAATCACTGAACAACCTTGACTGTTTCTGACAGTGAATGACATTGGCCTGTGCGAGTTACACTAACACCTGACAGCAAACTCCAGACGCATTCACCTTTGTGTTCTACTGTATCTACTACGCCCCCTCGTCCTCGTAGCTGGCTGGAGCCGGCGGCATTCGGAAGCACTCCACGAAATCGTTTGCTTCTTTATTACCCACTTAGCTCATGAACAAGGTCAGGCTACCTGAAAAGTCGCTCGGCAAATGGGAACAGATGGGAGGCCCCGTTTAACAACGCAGACACGCTATCAGTCTGACGAAGTGCACTCCCGTGTCGAATGGCTTCCAAGGCAAAGAGAAAAAGAGCAGACCGGGCTGACAGTTAGGTGAAGGACGTGAACTGATGAAGTGACGGTTATTTTGTTGGCATGCCGTAGCTGGGGACGAGAGCTCTAGGCTCTCTCCTCGGGGCAGCGCTGGTCAGTTTGTTTCTGGTTTCTTGTCAGATCTATAGCCCTGGACTTGAGACGCAGCACAGACTTTTCGCCCGTCCGATCAAGAGCTGTTCGTGCTAGGTATTGCCTATTCTTTGGCGTCCTCCAGTGAAAGGTATTATCGTCTTTGGATAGGGACGCGGGATTGGGTAAGATCCTCTGATCAGGCTCCAATGTTTGTTTTAAATTTTAACTTATAGCCTTGTGTCAACACTTTCGTTCATAATCGTATGAACGAAGGACCAGGTGTGCAATGTCTTACCACCTTCCTTGGAAAACTTAGCACTAGCCTTGGGGTGATGCATGGAAGGAATTGTCGGCGAAAGGAGGCGTTACCCACCCTTTGTATGCTACCGTCCTTCGTTGCTATGGCTCTGACTGCCTTCTTCAACTTCCTTCTTACATCTAAAGACAATGCAACTGGTACAACCATTATCAGTTGTTGAAGAGAAACAGAAGATCTTCCAAACTCACCTTGCTCACTTCACATCCGACGGCGACGCAAGGTATGCGGCAGGTGCCGTTACTGATACTTTCTTCTGCTAAAGATGTGAAAGCTACACCACTGACAGCACGACCAGAAACTAGTAGCCAAAATGCACTTAGGCTTCCGCCCCCTGATTTAACTGCTTAAACACAATACTAACTGCCCATAGATTGAGAAGATTAACTAGATTAACGGAGGCCCAAGTTGTTGGCGAATCTTATCGTCATTTCATGATTGCCAACACCACCAGTCCATAACGGTCAACAATATCAGTAGATAACGGTCAACACCATCAGCCGGTAATGGTCATCAGCACGAGTTCGTAACAGCCGGGAAGACGTCAGGTGGGTGATGGCCAGTCCGCAACGGTCAACACCGTCAGCACGTGACACAGTTCTCCGCCATGCCACTGCGACCGGCGCTGCCAGTTCTTACCGGTCAGCTTGGCGAGTACATAGAGCGGTATTTACCATTGTCAGCATCTTCAGGCGTATGCAAGTTAGGCTGAGTAACATCCAGCCCCTTCTATAAATAATTTTTCACTCGTGTATCCGGTACTAACGTGTCCTTGGAAACTTGTTTAGTTTTGTTATTGATGCCCTTGTTGTGTTCGTTTATATCAGGACAATATAACCGAGAATGTGTTTGCGTGTTCGCTCTCTGTTTTTTGTACCTAGTTTTTTGAAGCTGCGATTGTCATTAGACATGGATCGCCGATGTTTTTACTTCGAAAGTTATGCTGAGCAGCGCAGCCCGCGGTCAGGCTCAGGTGGAGGTGGACGACCTTCCTCGCCCGCCAGATAGTAGCCGACATCCTGCCACGTACTGAAGTTCTGGCCACGGCTGTTACAGGCTACAGCGAGGCCTGTGCGGCAACAAACGACTATCTCCGCCTGACGGACGGCCAGCTGATACAGTGGATGCGACCCAGCGTCACCAGGGACATGCAGAACCGCACCATTCGGCTCGGCGTGAAGGAGGTGCGGCCGCTCTCCTGCCCGGCCACCGCGCCACCAGGTGGCCGCGCGGGACCACATCAGACGATGTACATCCGTCAGGCATATATATATATATATATATATATATATATATATATATATATATATATATATATATATATGTGTGTGTGTGTGTGTGTGTGTGTGTGTGTGTGTGTGCATGGTATGTTCGATCTGGCGCTGATGCAAATTTGGTGAGGAGCACGTTTGGTCACGGTGAACATGCGCCACCGAGTAGCTCACTTATCATCGCCAGTTAACTGCATTAGGCTGGTGCCATTGGCACAATGCCACAATGCTCAGCGTCATCCGTCCATTAGTTTTAAGCCAATCCCTAGATAACTCCAGGGAAGCCCCTGAGGTCCCGTTTGTCCAGCGGGAAATGGCCTAGCCAGGTCAAACGTGGTTTGTCATGCCTGGGCCTTCAGCTGATCTTGGCTGGGCATCCGTGTTTCCGTCCCAGATGCCGACTGCCGCCTATCTGAACTCGACACAGCAGCCAGACCGCTGGTCGTTCCGCGTCATCAACATCCTGGCGTCCGTCTACAACTTCACGCCGGAGTACGTACCGTCGGCGAATCCGAGCGGCGGCGTCCCTGACGCGGCCGGCGGCTGGGGAGGCCTCACCGGACAGCTACTCAGGGAGGTGAGCGGTCCCAGACAGCTTCCCACAAGACAGATACTCAGGGAGGTGAGCGGTCCCTGACAGCTCCTGCAGGATACCTGGTCAGGGAGGCGATTGGGCCGCCTA